TACCAAACTCGGTATGGTTATTGTACTTGCCACGTGTAAGCAAAACGTTGAAAATTATTGAAATCGGACTAAAATAACGGCCGATTCTCATATAACGGTAAATTTAAGAAATGCTTGAAACTTCAATATTTCGAAATTGAAGGACGCTAATTTACTCAAAATTGATACACCTCGTCTTACCATCTAGCGGAAGGTTTCGGAGGGGTGAAAAAACATATATTTAATACTTGCGCCGGGTATTTAATGTTCGGCTCCGCCCGAACTTAGACTTTCTTACTTGTTATTATAAAAATTAACATATAAAAAAAAAAATAAAAAAATAAAAAACCGCGCGGGAAGTTGTGAAACACGAAAGAAAAGGGTAAAGTCATTGCATTTTTTCATTATACACATGAATACGAGCGGGAAGAAAGTCCATTTTAAATCACTCACAGTATTATTAGTGTAAAATTGAGTTCGTCAACTTGAAGCACACACACTAATATAACTTCTTATAAATTCATAAGTGCAAAGCGCAGATTACTTATCGGCTTTCACAGTTTATTCTGTTGCTGACGGTTTTTTTTTCGAGATTTTTCCATTAATTTTGACTTCCCACAAATATCACTCAGTTTCAATACTGCAATCGATTTCCGTTGCAGTCACAATCAAACACTGACCCCCCTTTTCTTTCACTTCCACAATATTCACTTGCGCGTATTAAAAAACAAAACACCTCTGTTTTTAACCGCCAATTAAACTTGAAATATCGAGGCGGCTAAAAATAATTAAATATTCATACGTTTATACACTGTTTTTACTTTTCATAGAAAAGTTGGGAGGCAAGTGATTCCTCCTGTATATTTGCGCGATCACTGTATTCATATATATATATTCATATTCATATTGTAATTTTACTTTACTTTGCACGTACATATTTACTTTGCACGTACATATTTACACAAATCCTTTGAGCGTTTTTTTAAACGAAAGTCAACATAAACATAAACTTGTACACACTATAATCCTTTGGCTGAAAATAAATAAAGTAGTTTTGATATAAATACGTACGTGGATACCAAAAACTAATATCTTATTATTGGGATAGTGGTAATAATTTGCTGGCATGGTGAAAGATTTATTTTGGTGTGGCTATTCGGGTGAAAAAGTTCAAATAGTTTTTGAGCATTAAATTTCGTTAGACATACATTAAATCTGCGATCAGATTTCTATCTCTGTGTTTTCCGTGGTAATAATTCTCTAACCCAACAAATCTGCGGTCAGATTTTTATCAGTAGTACCACGAACTATACAACTTTTTACCTCAAATTTACCGGGCTCTAACATCCAAAAATGGAAACTTTCATTCGATTGGCAGATGCCATAACCGAATTTGAGAGTGACTACAACAGTACGCCATTCGAAGATCAGAATAAGCATGCACTTGCAATACAGCAAGAGGAGCTGAGAGCCATGTGGAAGAAAACAAAATCAGCCCATGAAGCCCTCATAAACACCGATTTGACAAGAGAGGATAGACTATCTGTAAAAGCCAAAAATTAGAGTAGTTTTGGCTGCTATATGAAGTGCATGGCTGCAATAGCGTCTGATTTAGAAAAGTTAGCGAAAATTGAGAAAGAAAATGAAGATGTGTCTGTTCGGGAGCACAACATTCATCTGCCTCCCTGTGACACAGATATCTTCAAAGGGGATTATCTTTCATGGCCATCATTCACGAGATATGTTTACGGCCATCAACATTCTCAATAAGCGCCTTACCCCTGTTGAGAAACTATTCCATCTCAATCAGAAAACTCAAGGTGAAGCTAAAGAAATCGTGCGAAGGTGTCCTTTAACTAACGAAGGCTTTTCAACAGCCTGGAAAAATTTAAGCGACCGATACGAGAATAAACGTATTCTGGTCAATACGCAATTAAAAATTTTATTCAACTTTAACGCAGTTGAGAGCGAATGCGATAGCTCTATTAAAAAACTGCAGCGGGACATAAAAATTTGCATCTCGTCCCTTCAATGTCATCAGATTGACATTTCTAATTGGGATGCAATTATAACGTATTTATGCTCGACGAAACTGCCAGAATGCACACTGGCTCTGTGGGAACAAACCATAGAGAACAAAACAGAGATCTCAAAATGGGAAGATATGGATAAATTCTTATCCAATCGGTTTCAGACATTAGAAACCGTTTCAGGGCTCAAGGGCAACAAAACAGCTAAGACGCCTAAGCCCCAAAACACACGGCAAATGCCGGAAGCACCTCCAAAGAGACTTGGCGCTTTTCAAGCTAGTGTCGCCAAAAAATTGTGCACAATGTGTCAAAATAGCGAGCATAAGTTACGACACTGCGAAAGATTCCGCAAGTTAACCCCTTCCGACAGAATTGAGTACGTCAAGAGCAATAAACGTTGTTTGAATTGCTTGTCAGCCGGACATACGGTGACAAGGTGCACCAGTCCCTTCAATTGTAGCGCGTGCCATTCAAGGCATCATACGTTGCTCCACTTACAACAAGCAGTTCAGCCAAAAGCAACAGATCGTAGGGGAGCTCCGAACCCCTCAGGTGACGGCGCCTCAACTTCAAGGCAGGCTCAGTTAAGACGGGACTCTGGAAAAGAAAATACCGAAACAGTTAAAAATGTGAACTCTTGCTTTGCTAATACAAACAAAGGAGTGCTACTAGGAACTGCGCGCGTAAAAATACATTACAATGGTGTTAATTTCTCCGCCAGAGCACTGATAGATTCGGGATCTGAATGCTCTTTTATAACTGAAAGACTTCAACGCAGAATTAACCTGCCATCAAAACGCTTGCCCAAGTCTCGGGCTTCAATAATTCAATATCTGCGCAGGTAAAGGAAGCGTGCGCCATTCAATTGCGGTCGCCCTCAGACCCATTAATAAGCATATATGCTGTTGTACTGGTTTTACCAAAATTAACAGGAGATCTGCCGACTTGCCAAGTAAGCGCAATGACTCGGCAAGCATTCCCAGACTTGGTCTTGGCGGACAAGAGGTTCTTCATTAATGACCCAGTGGATCTCGTACTCGGAGGAGACATATACCCACAGATCATTTTAGGCGGCATAAAAAAGAACGTATTAAATACGCTTCTCGCCCAAGAGGCCGTGTTCGGTTGGATTTTAACCGGTTGTGCGGAAGCATCGAATCCAACCAACAATATTTTCTCATTTTACAATGAAGTCAACCTGGACAAACAGTTGACCGCTTTTTGGGAGTTGGAGGATATTCCTAAGAAAAAAGGTCTTAATGACGACGACACCTATTGCGAAGAACTGTTCAAGACTACAACCGAGAGGAATGCAGAAGGGAAATACATCGTGTCTTTACCCTTCAGAAAGGACTATCCGAACAACATTTCCTTAGGACCATCGCTGAAAGGCGCCTGCTCTCAGTTCTACCGGAACGAGACGCGCCTAGCGAAAAACCATGTCCTGCAAACGGAATATAATCGGGTTTTGAGGGAATATGAGACATTAGGGCATATGTCTAAAATATCTGATAACGTGCCAGCAGACTCAACTGACTGTTATTTCTTACCTCATCACGCTGTTGTGAAGGAAGAAAGCATCAGTACAAAGGTCAGAGTCGTATTCAATGCCTCATGCCCTACCGCCAATGGCGCGAGCTTAAATGACGTCCTTCATCCCGGTCCAATTCTTCAAGCCGATTTAACCATCCTGATGCTACGTTGGAGACTGTTTAAATATGTATTCAACAGTGACATCGAAAAGATGTATCGGCAAATTCTGGTAAATAATAAACAAACAAAATACCAACGAATAGTATTTCGTACCAGCCCACAGGAGCCAGTCAGTTTATACGAACTGAAAACGGTGACCTTTGCCATTAACTGTGCTCCGTACCTCGCTATAAGGACATTACATCAGCTTGCTGACGATGTAGAGAGCTCTTATCCAATCGCAGCAAACATATTGCGAAAATGCATGTATGTATGTGGACGACGTACTCGCCGGTGGACATAGCATCGATTCCGCGATAAGAGCTCGAGATGAAATCTCACAAGTATTGCAGTCATCTGGTTTCCCACCGCGAAAATGGACTTCGAACTGCAGTCAAATTTTAAAGGGAATACCAAAACCTCACTTGCTCAGCGAAGACTTTCTGGAGTTCGAAGATACCAGTACAGTAAAGGCTCTTGGTATCAGGTGGAATGCCCACTCAGATCATTTCTACTTTTCAGCAAAATCCATAGAAAGTCGAGACGTTTTTACGAAAAGGGCGATACTCTCAGCAATCGCCAAACTATTCGAACCACTCGGTTGGCTGGCACCAGTCATAATCGTTTCCAAAATCATAATGCAGAACATTTGGTTAGAAGGAACAGATTGGGACGAAACTGTGTCCTCAAATACCATGGATCGTTGGCAAGCATTTGTGAACGATTACACCGACATCAATAACATCCGCATACCAAGATGGGTCTATTTCTCACCGTCTGACGACGTTGAAATACATGGGTTTTGCGACGCATCGGAAAAAGCGTATGCGGCTACCGTTTTTCTGAGAGTTAAGACTGAAGACAAAATCTTCGTCAATCTAGTCATAGCGAAAACAAGAGTAGCCCCAGTTAAAACAATATCTTTGCCCCGATTGGAATTATGTGGCGCAGTTCTGCTTGCAGAAACAATGGAAGCAGTCATCGATAACCTCAATCTCGACCATTGAAAGGTTAATCTTTGGACGGATTCAACGATAGTGTTAGCGTGGATACGAAAACCTCCGTGCTCGTGGTCAAAATTTGTTGCTCACAGAATAACAAAAATAGTAGAGAAGGCAGGAAGCAAAAATTGGCGTCACGTGGACTCGGCGTCCAACCCGGCAGATCTGGCTAGCAGGGGACTGACGGCCAACGAACTGGTCAACAACTTGTGGTGGCAGGGTCCTTCTTGGCTACAAGAAGATAATTCAAAATGGCCAGCACAAGAATCGGACTACGACACAACCATTGAAGAAAAAAGGGTGCATGCGCATGCACCAACAAAGGTAAACGACTGTACCGACATTCTTTGTTCGATTTTCTGATTTTTCACGGGCTTTGAGAGTTATATCTTACATCGTGAGATTTTCCCAAAGAACACATCCAAAAACAAAAGCTTCATTTACGGCGGAGTCTTGCTTAATTTCGGCCGACGAAATTAAGGCAACGACTAAACGCTTGATAAAGGTTTGTCAAAAGCAATATTACAACGAAGAATATATACGGTTAAAGTCTGGAAAATCCATCGACGGAAAAAGTGAAGTCCTGCCTCTTAACCCGTTTATCGACAAAGATGACATTATGAGGGCGGGTGGTCGTCTTGGCGCATCTCGCGACTTGTCCTACAATGAACGCCATCCTATCATTCTTCCCTATACTTGCAGGTTGTCCCGTATCTTCGTCCAGTTTGTCCATCAACTTTCCTTACACGGAGAAAATCAGCTGATGTTGCGCCTCATCCGAGCGCAGTATTGGATCCCGTGGGTGAAAAACATGATACGGTCCATCATACACAATTGTAAGATTTGTACGATCCACAAGAAAAGGTCGCAAACCCAACTTATGGGAATCCTTCCAGAAGAACGCACCACCTTTTCGCGAGCGTTCACAAATACTGGTGTGGACTTTGCCGGACCTTTCGACATCAAGTCCTACCGGGGCAGAGGATGTCGCATCTCAAAAGGATACGTCTGTTTGTTTGTCTGCTTCTCGACAAAGGCTATACACCTCGAAGCCACCAGTGACTTGAGTACCGCTTCATTTCTCGCAGCTTTCGCGAGATTCATTGCTAGACGGGGATGTCCAAAACATGTTTACTCCGACAATGGAACTAACTTTGACGGAGCATCTCGATCTTTAAAAGCCGAATTTAAAGCTTTCTTAGCTGACACTCGCAATAGTACCCTATCGAA